ATCTGTTCTACTTCGCTGTATAGAATTGACATGCATGCACGCGAAATAATACTAGTAATAGGAATGAAGTATATAGTGTGAGAAGGATCTGTTCTACTTCGCTGTATAGAATTGACATGCATGCACGCGAAATAATACTAGTACTAGGAATGAAGTATAGTGTGAGAAGGATCTGTTCTACTTCGCTGTATAGAATTGACATGCACGCACGCGAAATAATACTAGTACTAGGAATGAAGTATAGTGTGAGAAGGATCTGTTCTACTTCGCTGTATAGAATTGACATGCATGCACGCGAAATAATACTAATAGTAGGAATGAAGTATAGTGTGAGAAGGATCTGTTCTACTTCGCTGTATAGAATTGACATGCATGCACGCGAAATAATACTAGTAGTAGGAATGAAGTATAGTGTGAGCAGGATCTGTTCTACTTGAATACACGCCGTGACAACACGGGGGGGGTTTGCTGGCGCCCTCTAGGGAGCGACGGAGCGTGAAGGCGCCGGGCCCGCGTCGCCGCCGCGCCTCACGGACGTTCCGCCATTGTTTTGCACTGTCGGTAAACACAAGAGCAGACACAGGAAGCAGGCGGCGTGTCGCGGGGCCGACGGGCTTTGTTTGACGGTGGCGCCACGGGCTGGAGTCGCTGCGAGCGTGACAAGGATTTGTTAGTGTAGCGTTGTCAGTATCATAGTTGTACCTGTTTGAGGAAGGTGAGCGAGAGGAAGGAAGAAAGAGAAGGGGAGATGTGGGGAGAGGAAGGAAGAAAGAGAAGGGGAGATGTGGGGAGAGGAAGGAAGAAAGAGAAGGGGAGATGTGGGGAGAGGAAGGAAAGAAAAGAGAAGGGAGATGTGGGAGAAACGGAAGAAAGACGAAGGGGAGATGTGGGGAGAGGACAGGAAGAAAACGAGAAGGGAGATGTGGGAGAGGAACAGGAAGAAAAGAGAAGGGAGATAGTGGGGAGAGGAAGAAGAGAGAGAAGGGGAGATGTGGAGGTGAGGAAGGAGATAAGAGAGAAGGCGGGAGATTGTGGCGAAGAGGAAGGGAGAAAGAGAAAGGGGAGATGTGGGAGAGGAAAGGAAGGAAAGAGAAGGGGAGATGTGGGGAGGGAAGGGAGAAGAGAAGGGGAGATGTGGGGGAGAGGAAGGAGAAAGAGAAGGGGAGATGTGCCGGGCCGAAAGGAAGAAAGAGAAGGGAGATGTGCGAGAGGAAGGAGAGCAAAGAGACAAGGGGAGATGTGGGGAGAGGAAGGACAGGAAAAGAGAAGGGGAGATGTGGGGAGAGGAAGGAAGAAAGAGACAGGGGAGATGTGGGCGGAGAGCGGAAGGGAGAAAGAGAAGGGGAGATGTGGCGAGAGGAAAATGAATCAATGAGAATGCTTGAAGCACTAGGAATAGGCGAGGAAGAACCTGATGGGAAGGGGAGAGGAAGCGGGAGTGGATGGAGGGGGGGGGGGGGGGGGGTGGGGGGGTGGAGCCCCTAGAGGAGGAGGAGGCTGGGGAAAGATGGGCGGGATTCTCTACGAAGGATGGAGAGAGCTGGGGAAGATGGGGGAGGCATGAGGGATTCCTAGACAGATGAGGAGGGCTGAGGCGAAGATGATGGGGGAGGCTGAGGGATCCCCTAGAGGATGAGGAGGCTGAGGAAGATGGGCCCCGGATTGAGGAAACAAAACACAAATAGAAGATGAGGAGGCTGAGAAGATGGGGGGAGGCTGAGGGATCGCCCTAGAGGATGAGG